ACTTTTCTTTCTCCTTATTTACATTCCATTGGTTCTAATAACTTCCCCTGTACATTCCTTGGGATTACTGTCTGTTAGATCTCAATAATATTGTCTTATTACACGAAAAAACGAGCCCTTAGGTATACACTTCTTTCCCGTATATATATATATATATATATATATATATATATATATATATATATATATATATATATATATATATATACGTATATATAGATAGATACAATCAAAGTTGCCGAAGTTTGCTAAGAAATGCCTTGCACTTAATGAAGTTGTGTTCATCACGGGCACCTTGCCCGATAATAACGAGTCCATGAAAGTGAAGCACACAATGAATTCACTGTAGCTTCAGTTGGTGTTACTTATGCCGAACTTTTGTTGGAGTACGCCACACGGGAGCCTGTGCGTTGATCGCGCGCCTGCAGAATCTCGTTCTCCGACGTCATCAGGTGCCTGCTTACAGAGTGTAAAGGAGAGGCCACAGCCACTTACACAGACATTTACGCAGGTTCGAACACGCTGCGCGTGAGCGCGTTCTGCCATTGCTTGGGACAACTTCTGCGCATGCGCCGTGAATATCGCCACACACAACACATTCAGCTAAACTATTAGCTGCTTCGCATCTAGTAAACAAGCTCACTGTTCTTATGGTTTATCCAAGATGAGTCGTATTCAACGACCATTCTGCTGGTGCTTCCTGCGCTTATTACGGTAAAATCATTCGTAAAAACTCTGAAAGGTCCTATACATTTGCTTAACGTGATCATTTTAGGCGTAAAATATCTCCAAATAGACAGATATGTGAGGTTCAACGTCCATATCGAGAGAGGTTCAACGTCCATAATGAGAGACGCAGTTGTAGACGGTTCCGGAAATTTTGACCACCTGGGGCTCTTTAACGTGCACTCAAACCTAAGAACACGGGCGTAGAACATTCCCGCTTCCATCGGGAATGCAGCCGTCGCACCCGGGGTTCGATCCCATGACCTGCGGGTCAGCAGCTGAGTACCTTATCCACTACACCACCGCGTAGGGGCATAAAACCTCTCCAGTGTTACATGTATAATGAAGGAATGATGATAACAAAAGGAAACAGCAAGCATCATCGCAGAGTAAGGCACCACGAGATCGGCGCTCGAGCTACTCCATCTTCCTCGTCCTGTCGCTATCTGCAATCTCCCGCCTGCCCGTTTGGTTCGCCCAATAAACCTCTTTACATTTGGTGGATCGTGCTGGGTAACCACATCGCCTACAACCTGGAACTCCGATCTCGCACCCTGCCGTCGACCATGCAAGTAGACGCTGCCCAACAAACAATACCTCTCGTGGCCCCTACTTGCCCCGGCCCGGTTCATCAGCGAGACCCCCCGATCTTTGCCGGCACCGAAGACCAGGACGTCGAGGACTGGCTGTCGTCATACGAGAAAGTCAGTGGACCCAACAGGTGGGATGACGCTGCTAAGCTGGCACTGTCAATTTTTATCTCCCGACGTGGCCAAGCTGTGGTATACGAACCACGAAACCGAATTCGCGAATTGGTCCGCCTTCAAGGAGGCAATACGTGCCGTTTTTGGTCGTCCTGCCTTACGGAAGCTACGCGCCGAACAACGTCTGCGCACACGGGCACAGGAGCGAGGTGAAACTTTCACATCATATATAGAAGATGTGATTGATCTCTGCCGGCGCGTCGATGCTTCCATGAGCAAAAGTGCGAAGATACAGCACATTATGAAGGGCGTCGACGATGACGTTTTCCAGATGCTTCTCGTGAAGTCTCCAAGCACTGTGGCAGAAGTAGTGACTTTGTGCCAAAGCTATGATGAATTGCTGAGGCAACGAGCTCAGACGCGACGCTCATTCCAGACAATCCAACCAGTGACCACACTGGACGCTATGGCTGACCAGGCAAACCTTCTCGCACAAATGAAAGACTTCGTGCGAGAGGAAGTGGCTCGGCAGCTTTCTCTGCTGCCTTTTGCTCAACGCCAGGAGCTCTCGCACCAACAGCCACTGCGACACCCACCACCATTGGCTCCCATGCTCCGACATGTGGTCCAGGAGCAGATTTCCGAGGCTATGCCGGTGCCCTTGCAGCAGCCCACCGTCACCGCGCCTCTTACTTACGCTGAGGCACTAAAGCGGCAGCAGCGACACCACCCCCCGTCGTTCCAGGGACTGCCGTATACCTCAGCCCCGACTCAGCCGTCCACCGCCTGGGTTCCTCCCATTGCCACCACAGCCTCGACACACCCGTCTGCCGCATGGACTGGTCCCCTCGTCGCCAATACTTGGAGAACGCGCGATAACCGGCCCATCTGTTTTGCGTGCGGCGGCCCTGGCCATATCGCCCGTTACTGCCGTCGTCGCGTGCCGGGATACACAGACGCCCGGACACAGAACAGCTTCATGGACCTTTCTCCATCCCGTCTAGAAAATTCTGACCCTCAGTCAAGCTCGTCTTTACGGGAATGTCCGCGTACTATGTCTGGTCGCTCACCTTCACCCGTCGTCGCTCCCTGTCACCCATGCGTCGTCGGCCAGCTCATGAACACGAGGGAAACTAACCGCCGCAGTTCAGGAGGCAAGAACTGCGCTGTCGAAATGCTCAAGTCCTCGGACATTGCCGTCGAATATTGTCGAAGTTTTTGTAGAAGGTACTCGAGCATATGCTCTAGTGGATAGTGGTGCTGCCGTTTCCGTGATAGACGCTAAACTTTGCCGCAAGCTCCGTAAAGTGACGACGCCTCTTAATATGATGTCCTTGCAAACAGCGAATGGGGACCCGGTTCAGCCTGTAGCCGCCTGTACTGTCCGACTGATGATCGCGAATGACCACTACACTGTTGAGTTTATTGTCCTGTCGTCATGCTCACACGACATCATACTTGGATGGGATTTTTATCGCGTAACCATGCCGTTATTGATTGTGGAAGATCGGAGCTTGAACTTTTCCCGTTTTACGACCAACCAACCAGCCATATTCAGCCTGCCGTACACAAACTCGTCGTCAAAGAAGGCACTGAAATTCCTCCGACAGCAGCTGTGTTGCTCCCAGTGTTCTGTGACGGCATTAGGAACGAAGCTGCATTCTTTGAGCCATCAAGCCTCTTCCTTAGTCGAAGATCACTTCTTCTGCCTTATTCACCCTCCCTGTTTCTGAAGGAAACAGTGCTCTTTGCCTCATCAATCCCCTTCCGTATCCCGTTGAACTGTTTCAAGGTGAATCTCTTGGACACGTGCATGCCATTGATAAAGAACAAATTTTTACCATGCCGCCAGATGTTCCGGTGACTACGACGCCATAAGTGCCCTCAACCCTTCCAATATACCACCTTGCGAGCTTTTCGATTCATCGATTGCCGACGGATTATCGCCATCTGAATGCTCTGAGCTCCTTCAGCTGCTCTACCAGTTTCTTGAATTCTTTGACGTTGCTCAACCTACCCTTGGCTGAACTCCCAGTTTTTTCCACCGCATCGACACAGGTTCCAACGCGCCAGTACGACAGCGACCATACCGTGTTTCCGCCACAGAACGTCAGGTTATCACCGAACACGTTGACGATATGCTCAAGCGCGACGTTATCCGACCTTCCCAAAGTCCATGGGCATCCCCTGTCGTTCTTGTTAAAAAGAAGGATGGTGCAATTCGCTTCTGCGTTGATTACAGGCGCTTAAATAAGATCACTCGCAAAGACGTATACCCTTTGCCCAGGATTGATGACGCCCTTGATTGCTTACAAGGTGCCGAGTTTTTTTCGTCGTTAGATTTGCGTTCGGGGTATTGGCAGGTGCCCTTAGCAGATGGTGATCGTCCAAAAACAGCATTCGTGACACCGGACGGGCTATATGAGTTCAATGTCATGCCCTTCGGCCTCTGCAATGCGCCGGCCACATTCGAGCGCATGATGGACTCGGTTCTGCGGGGTTTGAAATGGAACATATGCCTCTGCTACCTCGACGATATCGTCGTCTTTGCACCCGATTTCGCAACACCCTGTACGCCTGAAACATGTCCTCACGTGTCTGAAGAATGCGCAGCTCCAACTGAATCTAAAGAAATGCCACTTCGCTGCTCGGACGCTCACCATTCTCGGTCACGTCGTATCAAAGGATGTGTTCTTCCCGACCCGGCTGAACTACGCACTGTTGCTGAATTCCCCAAACCAACGACTGTAAAACAGTTACGCAGCTTCGTAGGATTGTGCTCCTACTTTCGCTCGGTTTTGTGCGCAACTTTGCCTCCATAATGCCCCTTTGACCCAACTTTTAAGCAGTGCCAACGACATCTCATCATGGTGTTCCGAATGTGATCACGCATTTACCACTCTTCGCCGTCTCCTGACATCACCGCCTATAATGCGCCACTATGATCCCACGGCTGCAACTGAAATCCATACAGACGCCAGCGGTGTCGGTCTCGGTGCAGTTCTCGCTCAACGCAAGCCTGGATCCCCTGAGTATGTCGTCGCCTACGCCAGCAGAACGCTCAACAAGGCTGAGGTAAACTACAGTGTTACCGAAAAAGAGTGCTTAGCCATACTTGTAAAGCTTATACATGTAAAGCTTACATGAAGGAATGGTGCCCACACCAGAAAAACTTTCATTGTTGAAAATTTGGTGTCAAAGAGGCCTTTCAGTACGCCACATATGGCGCTTGCCACGAAGAGATTCTAGGCGTTGACCAACGCTAGACAGATGAAAGACACCGTGCCCATGCTAGACAAACGCAACGTAAATAGGAAAGCTCTAACCAACTGGTAAACTTTGCAGATGCGAATCGTTCAGATAATTACAGAGTATAAGTTTTTCACAAGTATTTGGATGCATAGTCTGTAGGAGCGATGTGTCTTAAAACAATTGTAAATGTTCGACACCTCGTGTGTCGAAGTTTTAGCCCAGTAATACGAAGTGGTGGATTCCCCTAAAAAATATCTGCGCACGCAGGCTTAGTATAAAGAAAGCGTTATTCCACTCACACGTGCTGAGGGTACTTACCTTTGCTACCTGAGAAACTTTCCAACTGAAGTTGAAAGGACTGCGTTTCATTTGCTACTGCGAAAGTCTCGTAGCCAAAGGACACAGTCTCTTCAGTGCTGTTACTTAGTACAATTCGCAGACTCATGTTCTCTTTCCCTGACGTAAGGGCGTGCAGAGCTTTGTTACCTGTGAGCGAGAAATGAAATTATTGCCGCAAAGCATGCGGTATTCAACGCTTACAGAATAACGCCAGACATACGCAACTATATGTCGGCTGGGTAACAAAACAGTATGAATGTTGTTGTAGTAATTTGTTGACTGCAACGACTACCGCAGACTTTAAAGAATGGTGATGGCGAATCTCTATACGCTTGGTAGTTGCTAACACCACTGCTACTACTGCTGCAAACAAAGCTTCATGCATTTTGAGAACGATAAAAGTCTAACCACTGCAGCGGCAGCAGCGAGCATAACATCGCATCAGTTTGAAAACTGTATCAACCTTAAATCAGCTCTTTATCCAGTGAAAATGGGGTATTACAACAAATGAAATCAATTAGGGTTTTCTATTTCTTTTATACGCAGCCCTATGAAACAAACAATTGTGGCGGCAAAGAAACTTACGACACATAATTTGTTGTTTTTTATTTGCACCATGGTGGCAGGTTTATAAGATAAAAAAATGAAGGTGGACGAAAAGACAAGTCGCTGTAGGTAGGGGGCAAATGAAACATGAAATGATTGTAGTCATATGTCTGAAGATGCCCTTAACTGTAAATAAGTGCGTATTTAGTCTCCTCTGAAACACTTCACATTGATGAATTTGTTGCAATGTGACTAATTTATTAGTAATATAATTCAAGCATACTGTGAATTAGGTCTGAAATTGCAAAATAAAAGGAGGCTGAATAATTCGTTTCTCATGCATTAGGTTACTTATAAAGCTTCCTTCTTATTGTTATGCACATAATATATATTCCTATACCGTTATATTGTGACATTAGGCAAGTGTCACCTGGTTCATAGACCACCCTCAAGGGTCAGCGGCGTGGCTACACTACTAGAGAGCTGTTCATCACTATAAAACTGCTGTCGCAGTGGATTCAAAGCCGAACAATTTCCTGAGGGCCACCTTATTTTTCTGTCGCTCAACTGAGTCTTCGTCTCTTACCAATCCAGTACTCATCATCAGGATCTCCGAATCCATTGGCGTACTCAGTCCAGTTCCGGTAGAAGTAGTAAGCATTGTGTCCGTACTGCCCACGTCGTTGGATGACCTAAAATAGAGAAACTATCTTGGAGGCCCATGCACACGAGTAATTTTTCATGGTTCATGCGCATGGAATGCTATTTACGACGGTGAAGAAGTGGAGTTGATGGCGATCATTGCTAAACAGCGCCACCGAAGTGGCCGTGGTTACTTGAGCTGTATTCTCAATACGGAAAAAGCTATGGTCTTCACCTTTTGCTTGCGCTTGACATCCTAAAACAGCACGCTTTGTAACTTTTTTTCTATTGTGATAAATATCTCCTTACTAAATAAACATACCCCAGGCGTGAATGCTGAACTTGAACGGATCTATTTGAGAGAGCAAACATTTCTCACAAGAGCAGGTACGGCATGAGGGATGCCTATTTATTGTACGTCGTAGAAAAAGTGCCAGAATTATGATGTTATTTGAATCTGGTCACAACCATTCATCCTAACGTGATTTCACTTCGCACCGTATTTGGCTTTTCAATGGCAGTTCAGCTTAGTTTACCTAAAGCTATTAGGTAGCGCGGTGTAAACTCTTTCAACGAATTGAGATAAAAGCAAGGAAAAGCAGCATGCGTTCAAAATTTTGGTGAAGCATTTCCTTTCGGGGCACTACTGCGCTGGCGCCAAAACTGTCACACATTGCTACCATGCGGCTTCTCGAAAAGTGACTTTGCAAATCACAGCTAAAAGGTTTTTTGTACCAGAGAAAAAAATGTGTCTTCAGGAGTGAGTGCTGTTGTGACGCAGTATTGTCTCGACGTAGTGACGGCAACAAACATTTGAATCTAGAACTGTGACGACCATAACGAAGAAACAACTACTACTGCAAAATAAAGAACACACAAAACAGATATGTGAAAATTTTCGCAGACGTTCAAATAATAACGAGCCGTTTAGAAATATTAGCGGCAAAAATGTGCAATTAAGTCATCGGCTAATGATTAGCCTTGCGTTTACCAAGGTTATCAGGAAAAACTGCATATATTTGTTAAAAGCACGTTCTAGGCGACTTTTTGTGTATGGCGGGTTTGAAGTTCTGACCAGTAAGAAACTTCGGCGCCTATAAAAAGGAGGCATGGATACTGCTTAAAGAAGAAAGATGCTTTTTAATGAGCAGTTGTGCTTCATATATTCCTAAAAAAGTACCATTTTCATAACTCGTGGAGATCATCAAGACGGCATTATTTTAAACTCGCATGGGCTTATTTCGAGGCATCTGTATTATATTGGACGATCACATTTTTCGGCTTGTGGGCTCTACAACGAGAAGCAATGAAATTTTTATTGCAAGTTTTATTCGCAGCCAGTAGCATTTATAGGGTTTTCCTGCCGTAGCACATCCGATACTGAGCGACTGAAAGAGAGGTGCATCACAGATCTTTTGAGGAAACTTTACCGTTTTACCCAAGCGGAACACAATGAATAGTTACTAAACACAGCTAAAAATCTTGCGAATTTTATATATAAACTGAACTGCCTACAATCAATCGACGATATTGTCTCATTTTGATTGAACTTCAAGTACACGTGGCCAATGCGCCAAGCTATCCTGTGGAAATGCCTGACCGGGACAGGTGAACTCAACTTTTCGAATGAGGTGCTTTTGTAACCAAGTTAGCTACGCGGAAATTATCGTGTTATATTGTAGCATGACGTAGCGTAAATATTTTGCTACATTGAGAAAATCCAGAAGTAATAGGAACCAGTGCCATTTTTGCCTAATGAGTTAACTAAGTCTCTACCGGGAAAAAACCATTCGCTTGAAGCAATGAATCCGATCACAACAAATTGTATTGCAATATTAGGTATGGGAGGAGCCAGATACTGTATCATTAGAATGAGCGTAACTGAAATAAACACAAAAACAACGCAACAGAGTCACTTATTCGAATGAAGGTACATTCATGCGGTTAATTGCTTTAGCGAAAACACAACAAAGCATAGGGCGCGGAAGGGCATCAACCACGTTCTTTTTCTTACCTAATGAGCGCTCGGTGACCACGCTCACACGGTCAAAGCTTGAGCTGTTGCCCGAATTACGTTGGGCCTACTCCGGGACACCTGATGGCACTTTCGCATACTGAGAAAACAACGGCGCGTCTCCTTTCTACTGGAGTTGTGGACGTCGGCGGCACTCGCGCGTTTGCTCTCGCACTAAGAGCTGATGATGCTGAAGAATATTATCGCAATTTAGACTTAATAGACTTATTAGGTAACGTGACACTGACGTGGATGCGTCACCTACGCACGCTTGTGATGCCTTATGTTGACGGCGCGATTGCCGAAGCTAATTGCATCAGCGCATAAGAGCGAAGCAAGAAAGACAGAAGAAGCAGCTAGCTCCTATTAACAAATTGCCCAAGTAACGTCTCATTGATGTGTCTCTAAAGAACAGCAATCACCGCAATACAGAGCTTCTTGTGCAGGTTTTGTCAAATGGCAATGCACTGCTAAAAAAAAAAAACACTTGATTGTCGCTGGGTATGCATCAGGATAATAAACGTGAAGCGGGCAAGGTTTGGTTACGTGTGTGTCTGTAATAGGCGTAGGGTTAAAGCCTGCGATGTATTAAGTTTCAAATGGGGGGGGGGAAATGCGGCACTCAAGGTTGGTCTTTAACTCAGGAAGATGGGGTTGCCCTGTGGTGGTGCGGTCGCTAAGTGCACGTGCTGCATCATGGGTGATCTCGTTGAGGTTGAATAGGGCACCCGGCACGTGGCCGAGATGGGCGCGGAACCAGATGACAGTGTGGCTCTTCAGGGCACTCGGGTCTGCTTTGCGCAGGATACGTAACGCCTGGTCGGAGATGAATCCGCGTTCGAAGGCTTTGATGGCTGGTCTGGAGTCGCTGTAGATGAGTTTCCGTTTGCTGTCTAGCATAGCTATAGCTGCCCCGCCACGGTGGTCTAAAGGCTAAGGTACTCGGCTGCTGACCAGCTGGTCGCGGGTGCGAATCCCGGCTGCGGCGGCTGCATTTCCGATGGTGGCGAAAATGTTGTAGGCCCGTGTGCTCAGAATTGGGTGCACGTTAAAGAACCCCAGGTGGTCGAGTTTTCTAGAGCCCTCCACTACGGCGTTTCTCATAATCATATGGCGGTTTTGGGACGTCAAACCCCACAAATCAATGAAATCATAGCTATAGCTATAGCTACTTGCTCCGCTACTTAAGGGTTTTGGGTGAAGATTGTGGCAGAGTTAAGAGTCTTCTGCGCGGATGATACCGCGACCGTGGCGAAGGCTTGGTTGTTGTGATAGGCAGTGGCGTCTTCGAATGAGACGTTGTCTGATTCTATGTCTATGCGCATGAAAATGGTGGTCACCCACGCAAGGCGCCTGCCTCTGTTGTATTCGGGGTGTACATTTCAGGGTGTACATTGCAGCAGGTTGTCTTCTTTGAGGCCATGGTGCCTGTTGGCTACTCTACGTGGGAGTCGTATGGCACTCTCAGTCTTAGACCTGAGCTTGTGTACCGTTTGGATGTTGGTTCCGCGGGACTGGATGATTATGCCGGGGACCTTGATGGTATTTACCCTAGGTACAGTACGACCATCTCTGTTCTGAGCGAAAAATTTTCATTTTTTGCGTGACGGAAAAATTGTCCATTTTTGCGTTACCACTAAATTGAGAAAGACGCAAGTAATATGAAACATTCTGCGTCTGAGCGATGATCGAACCCGGGTCGTTATCGTGGCAAGCGGGTGTTCTACCACACAGCCACACCTCTACTTGCAAATACTGTGAAAATACTTTCCTCAGCTTGGGAATGCAGCGAAAGTAACTTTCGTGCTTTACAACCACACGTTTCCTGTGTACATATTTAAATTTACAACGTGAAGCTGCCGTAATAATGTGTGGTACAACGGTACATGACCATCAGTTGCCAGAACATGGAATTACAATGACTTCGTAGTTTAAAGGGTCACCCACTACAAAAAGCATACACGTTACTGCATTCTCAAGGCCACGTAGTGTGTGTACAGCAAGTTCAAAAAGATTTCATACACTAAGTGTTTAAAGTATGGACTAGGAACAGATTATCGCTATAGCGTGCAACTTTTAAAGGCAAAGCTTGAGAGCTTTCCTAGGTTTTTTCTCCTTGGGGTTAACTGTTAGAATTTCGGTCTACGTCTTTCAGTTCTCAGAGTAGTTACGCCCATAAAGTGCGGTTGTCAGGCACCACGACTACTTTGACATGGTAAGGGCAGCTCACAGCTTGACGTATCATTGGCGTTACTGTCTAAGTTGGAGCTGAGGCATCAATTTCATCACAAAGGAATGCGGGCTGCATTGCGAAGATAGGCATATGATCTGTAGTGCTAGCCGGATGATTAGAGTAACGATTTACTACAGCTTGCAGAGTCAGAGATTTTTTATTTGTTACGTGACATCTGTGTTGCTTTTTTGTGCTTGATTGTGAGGGAGTTTGAAGCACTGATTGCACTAGTATACTTGGCTGGCATGCAAAATACATGGGTTATACTGGGGTGAGTTTTTTCTGAAAATTTGTTTCCAGCAGCAGTTTTTCCGACTAAAAACACCGGACAATGCTTTCAACGCTTTTTACTCGACACGGCCGAGCACGTTTACGTTATCGCGCTATGGTTTGGAAAGTTTGGCTCGGTAAAGAGTGTGAATGCCATGTGGCGCATGTCTTCTACGTTGGCAAGTAGCATGCGAGAATGCGCAATGCGTTACTGGCGGAAGCGCTTTCATGTGGTACGTGAAGGGGCAGTGATGGTACTGCGTGTGAAGCATATTTAGCACAATGACTAAGTCGGTCAGTGCTTTATTCAAGATCCTTGACATGGGAGTACGTAACGAAGACAGTGACTTGGTATGACAAGGACAAGCGTATACTACCATCTGGAAGTTTTTTCGGCAACCAGTGATATATGCATGCTGACACATTGAAGGGGGAAGGAAGAACAACATTTTAGCAGGCAGAAAGGCTAACGAGGCACATGCCTGGCTACAATAGGTTGGGGCAAGGGAAAAGAGAGTGTTAAGTTTGCCACC